AAAAAAAAAAAGGGGGGGGGGGGGGACAAATGAGGAGTGCAGTAGGCATAAAATTTGAACGAATAACATGAGAGGTGTTTTCAAAAAGTAATAATTTCTCCAGGGTGTTACTAAAGCATTTTGCTAACAAAAGATTGATATGCTATAAGTTTGGCCAAATCAACCTAGAGCATTCATTTTTGTAGCACTGCAAGCTTTGACCATAAAAAATTATTTTCATATGCCAATGTCTTTTATCACTACCAGCATTCAAGAGAAAACTCATCTCCTAACAAGTCAATGCTACAAACATGAATTTCTCAAACTTTTGAAGAGTACTTGCTGCACAGAAAAAGTAATTGCTTATTTGAAATCAGCATGTCAAAATACTTGAAAGATGGAAGTTTGATCAAAATTCACCCAAAAATGAAAATGTTTTAGGTGGGGTGTACCCCCTTAAACCATCAAGTCCTTATCATAATCACATGTCCTGATGCCCAATGGCAATGTACACTTGTACCACGCATTATCACTGCAATGTTTCGAGTTATAGTGTGACGCATGTATACAGGACCTGTGTGTTTGTAAAGCATGAAAGCTAGTTTCACTGCATTTCCAAGCAGAGAAAGTTATTTTCATTGTATGAAAATAACTTTCTATGATAGAACACCCGCTGGCCCCGCAAGTGAAGCAACTAGTGAGATTTTCATTTTTATTTATTTATTTGTATCTTCCTCGATTTATCGGTCGCGCACAAGATGACTTTTCGCTCACGCCCAACAATGCTGACGCCGAAATGTCTGTGAAACGAGCACATTAAAGACATCACGTTAAAATACAAGTTCCCCTTTTAAAAACACATCGCCTGTATTGTCTCTTTGCTCTCTCGATCATTTGCTTCCCCCTTTTTTGTCAGCTACACTGGTGCACTCAATGAAGCCATGAACGTCTCATTGGCTTTCATGCATTAGAGCCAAAAATTAATCGATGACACCGTGTCAGAAATAACGTGTGGTGTTTTCTGCTGCATAGATCTTGTGGCAGGGGAAGTGCTAGTACAAAAACTGTTATTGTTGAACAAAATGACAGCTGCACTATTAGAGGCTACAACACAGTGTGCAAGCAGCTGTTGCGCACTATGACCACTGTTGCTCATTTGAAAAGTGGAGATAGGCAGCCTGAACATCTGTGGAGGTAGACCACCAGCCGAGAATGTGCCCACAACTGTAACTGTTCATCACGAACACTGGACAGTTTACAAAGTGGCCCACTTGCTTTCGCTGCCTATGCCTACGAAGACAATGGCAAGCCAAAAAACCCGCAAAGGTGGTGAAAAACAGAATACAAAAGGTTCACAACCACTCAAAGAAGTTTGCACGTGCGACTGCCGCAAAAAAACAAAACAAAATGAGGAGATCATTGCTCTTAAGGGGAGATGTGGGTCGAAAAACATGAGTTTTTCTCAGAATTACCGATTTTTTATTTTTGCCTGATTTGATAAGATTAGTACCTCTACTGTTATGAAAAAAATACAGGTCGAGACTTCACTGGAAATGCTTTAAAGTTGCATCTACAGAGCACAAGGTGCCTGTTAAAGGTCCAAGGTATGCAGTCTTCGAGCACCTTGCCGCCGATGATGCGGCACCGTTCACCATTGTTGATTGCATAAGTCGAAGAGTCGAGCCTCACTCTTTAAAACAACAACAGTTTTTCTCGCTGATGCAGCACAAGAAATAATAAAGAGAAGCACGCTTCTGCGCGTTTTTCGAGCGCCGCGACTGGCTTATCACGCGGTACGGATCGGGAAACCGCCATTGGTCGCTGCGCGCCTGTATGTGCTGTGACGCCTATTTGCGGGGTCCATGTCTTGTCGAGCAGCGCAGCTGAACAATGCTTTTCTCGTGTAATTATCTTCGTTATGAATGAAAAAGCTATTGCTCACAAGTTAAAGCTGTTGTGCGGCACGCTCTATACAAATAGGCTACGAGCAGCTGGTCCGATTCGTGGCAGTTGTTGGCTTGTAAAAGCCAATGCATCAAAAGTCATTCGCACTCATCAGCTGGAAACTTCGTGATGTGGCAGTGGATGACGTCAGCGCCAATCTTGTGAGATCGAAAGAGCTCGCAGTGAGGCAACTTACCAGGGACGACATTGCCGATATGTATGACGGCATGTGGCACGAACATGGCCACAAAATGGCATGACCCTGTATTTAGTTTGAATTTCGCAGTCCTGTCGAACTTCTTCCTAGCTTGCAGTTGGCACATGGCTTTGCCAGATGGAGCGGAAGTTTGATAAGCGTTTCATGGCCCTGTCTGTGAGGGAAGTGTCTGTGAGGATTCGGCTCGAAAGAGCCGAGAGGGATAAACTTATGGTGCTGTCGTATTTTAGTGGCAGTGGCCACAACAACAAGGATTGTTCTTTTTTGGTTGTCAAATTTTATCAGATTTAATGATGACTTTCATAAATAAAAAATAAATTTTAACTTTAAAACTCGTTTTCCTCAAAACACAAATTTTGCCATTTTTTCAATGTACCGCTTCTTTTTCTGGCACTTCTAGTGCTCAGATCTGCATAAAATTTTGCCTAAATTTTTTCAAAAGTATTAGAAATGCAAGTATATTGTTTAAATTTCGATATTTTATTGTATACTAAAAAAAGTTTAAGTAAACATTTACTAGGATAGGTGAAATATGGACTCATTATGCCTATTATTTTTCATGTCTATTACATATTTTGTGTGTGCTTCCTGATTAGTTATTGGCATTCTATACTTTATTTCAAACATTATGAACTATGAATGCTAAAAAATTATGAAATTCAGGGATAAAAAGAGGCAGTGGGGGGGCAAAAGTGTTAATGTTTTCACTTTGTCATGTTTCAGAGCTAAAAGTATGCAACTTGCAAGAAATCTAATTATATATTTGAAATCAGCATAGAACCTTCCATAAATAGCTCAAGTTTCATTGCTCTAGGGTGAATATTTTAAAAAAAATGTCTTCGAGTAGCATCTCCGCTTAAGCGAAAACTTGCCACAGCTTTGAACGACAGAATCGAAGGTGCCCTTGCTCAGCTTCCTCCTTTGCAAAGGCTCTCATTCATGATATCGCTGACGCAGCTGAAAGTAAAAGCAGCCTGTGGCATGTGCTATAAATCCAACTGGATTCTTAATTGCCTGATGCTGTGAATTAGAAGCCCACGAGCATATAAACTGATAAGTGACACGAAGATATCACCCCTTCCCTCAATTAGCCGCCTGGCTCAAATATTTAAAGGTACACCGTGCAAATACGGCTGGTAGTGAAACGCTGCTATCCGAAGGAGTGCAGTTGGCAAGAAAAAAGGCAAAACTCAAAACTGCTGTAAGTCATGAGCAGAGCTCGCGCGAGCTCCACGCCACTCTCAGGTGTGGTGCCTGATGAGCCAGAAAACATGTGCGCACCGTATGTTGCGAACGTAGCACTCACAGAGTGGAGACCCACAGCCAAGGAAGCGTGGACGGCCTCCCTTAGCGACTCAGATTACGGTAGAGTCGTAGCGCGAACCACGCCTTGATTGATTAATATGTGGAGTTTAACATCCCAAAACCACCATATGATTCTGAGAGACGCCGTAGTAGAGGGCTCCGGAAATTTCGCCCACCAGGGTTCTTTAACTTGCACCTAAATCTGAGCCCACAGACCTACAGCCTTTCCGCCTCCATTGGAAATGCAGCCGCGGCAGCCGGGATTCGATCCCTCTACCTGCCGGGCAGCAGCAGAGATTCTTAGCAACTAGACAACTGTGGCAGGGCACGAACCACACCTTGGAAAGCGTGTACTGCGTTCCCAGAAAAGAGCCAGTGTGCAATAGCGTGAAGTAGCACACCGCTGGTCAAGTAGTTTCCTGCCACCATCGTAGAGGCCTGGAGGAATGGATACTTGTGGCGGTGGCCGACTTGCCGGTTCCATGAACAAGGAAGCCTTGCAGCGTTCCTCTGGAAAGCACGTTACCTCAAGCTAGCAGCTGGTGTTCGCCGAAGCTTTTCAATGACTGCGCAATTGTAATAAAATGAGAGAGAACAAAGAGACAATGCCCTTGCCCTGGGCCAGCTGTTATTTTTGGCCTTCGTTGTCCTTTTCCTTCCACTAAATCCTACACGCACACATGCCCGAGCTTCACTACCTCTACATTTCCGTTCTAAACGACAAAACATGTGTGCTCTTTGTTATTGTTCACTTAAACCTAATGTTATAATGCACAGATCGTTTCATTACATTTGAAAAATTCTGCAGCGTTTGCCTCAAAGAACGGTCGCATAAAACGTTTCTCGTTGCTCCAGTCGCAGAGAGAAGATTGCGAACTATTCGCTGTTCATGTGGAACAAAACTGCCATTAGCAGCGGTTATTTCGCTGCAATCGCGGCATGTGAAACAGCCTTTACCAACTTCCGCTTGCCCCGCGAATAATTGCGGCCAGCCAGAGGGAAGACAAGGCGTGTGTTGTGTTCTACTCTAGTCGAACAGTGGCATTCATTAACACTCTAAAATGCTTTGAGTAGGCAACGTTAGCCCAAGTTCGGCATCCAATCAGTCACGCTATTCTGGCTGTCACATCGCCTTCTCTGATTCCGCTCTCACCATCATCTACTACAGCTACCACAAGCATCTATGAACTCAAGAGTTTGCTTAATCCTTCATGATGGGCGTTAGTCGTCACAATGCAATGTATGACTAAGTGTCAGCGTAGATGCATCCATGTTAAGCAATGCTGTAGCTGTCAAACACCAATAGACATCATGCAAACTCTCCGATATCAATGTACAGTAAACAATAAACTATGGTACTTTTGTAAAGACATGTTTTAATTTCGTGTTTTGCTGATTTCTATGACAGAGGCATCAACCATGGTGTAGTAGTTGCCAATTTGTATCCTTTTTGTTCCTACTCCTGCAAGATCCTGTCTAAGCTTACAGTATTAGGTAATCTACAAAATCCGATAGCAAAGCCACCAAATACGAGGACACCAAAAGTACCACTTGCCTTCTGGCAGCTGTGTGCTAGCTGCATTGCGGGCCCAGCCGTAGAGAACCGTCAGGTTGTCACAAACAGCATTGCGATCGCAGTTCCTTTATGTAGAATAAAGGCGGCAAGGCAGAGGTCATTTAATGAGCAACACGTGTGATGCATGGCCATTCAAAGTGTATAAAAAACTGTCCTATTAGCCACTCCAACATCAACTGCCTTTCTGTGCTTAAAACAAGAAAGAAGCAAAATTATTTAGCAGGGAAGCTATTCTCCCAGTGTCCACTTAATAGATATGTCCATTTCCGCCTCCACTGATAGCAGCGTGTTGCCCGTATTTCTTCTGCAACGTCACTTCGACACCACACAGCGTTCACAACTCTCGACACAAATTAGAAAGACCGAACGCATTTTGCCACAATGAATGCTGCCCCAGAGGTCCGCTTTTAAATGCACATCTCGGAGGCTATGCATGAACTCTATTCACTTTAGCCCTTAAATTAGCTTTAACATGGCCACCAACCTGACGCAGCTGGAACGTCAGTAAGCATTCCCTGCATCATTCTTCAAGCATTTCAACACACTCATACGCAAGTTCAGACTTGACAAGTTTGTTCAAGAGCCATGTTACTGTACATTTCGTCAGTTTTCTTGTTACCCTGGGAATGTGCTAGCGGGTTCCGTGTGTAGACGGGATCAAGGGCGCCATGACATTATGACTCACTGGTTTTGTTTTGTAACTAGACGTGCTCCAGCGAAGTAGACACTGCAAGAATTGCGCCCCAGAGGTGAGCTACATGCATAACAGCTACTCCCTGATAAGAATAATATTTCATACATTTGAAGTAATCATGTCATAAAACAAACTACCGCACAGTTGTATGTGAGTACTGTCTAGTCGACCTTGTTAAATGGACCAACAACTGGCCAGAATGTATTATATCCTGGTGGGAAATGAAAAGACTGTGAATTATAGTGACAAATTCAAGCATCTCTTTCACGACCAGAGTAGGATTTATATTTTTATATGGGTCATTCCATATCAAGTGAGCCCAGTCAATTTTCGACCATTGCCTACCATGCTGAAAGAAATCATGCAGGTATATGTGAATGTGAGAAAGATTTATTTCGGTGCTATATTTCGCAAAAAAAAAAATTCTGTGTTGCCTAGAGGGCGCTTGAAAACATCGGGCTCCGAAGAAAAACTGTGTCACGCCAAATAATTTATATAATATTATTAGTCTGAGTAATCAATACAAAACAATGTTTTCAGTAATTTCAAGGCATCACTCTTTCATGAATAAGATAGTTTATTCATTCGTGTTTTAATTTTCTTTCTTTCTCACTTTGGCAAAAAATTGCAATATGCTGCACATTTTCACTGTTTTTATAAAAAGCACAAGTTTTTTTTGTCTGTAATATTTTTACAATTTCTGCTTTACTTGCACTCATATTAAATGATTAAAATACTTTGAGAGCAAATAAAGCAAAAATATTGCCAAAATATTCTGGCAACGTAGGGAAAGACAGCATTGTCACTCGTATTGCAGCTTGATTTTCGCAATGCAGAGGTAAAAATAAAAATATGGATTTTACATTGTTGCATAGTTAAGTTGGTCATTAAAATAGACAGAAAGTTTGAAAAGAGTAGATTTTGTTTTGAAGGAGAAAAACATTTTTAACTAAACAACCATCAGGGCTGTTGTTGGGGTCGAAATTGAAGGGAGTAAGCTGCTATGACAGCCTGCACATATCTTCAGGTGATCAACATAACTGAGAAATCTTCATACCTTCTGCAAGCTCGTGAGTTTCAGCTGGCTTTCCAAACCATGTTCACTGTATGTGTACGAGGGAAAAAGCTTCCCTCTACAACTGACGACAATGGTGAAGTCTTTTGTTAGCACTGCTGCCTAGTCGATTTCCACAATACCTTTGTTTTCACAATACCTTTGTTTTGAACAACTTTGATTAAAAAAATACCCTTCTTTCTTCATAAGCTCGAAATACCTGGAATGAAACTTTCTTCGGTCTTATTCTGCAGGCAACCAAGTTGCTACCTCTGGACATAACTCTGGATCGGAGGGAACACCAGTAGCTTTGTCAACATCGCTGTACTCCATGTCAGTCAGCGTCAGGCGCATCACCACAAATTGCCGACACGCGGCCTTGGAAATTCGCAGTTTCTTCTAGTTTCGAGGGTTTCCTTTCACGCTTTAATGCCGTTGATTTAGACAGGTGTGCAGGAATGTTCGAAAAAATTCTAGGAACAGCACCGGGCTTAATTGCCAACCTACCATGTGGAATTTTGACGACGTTTCCGCCTACTATGTGCTCGCAGCAAGGGTTTAGGTCCTCAAATTTGAAATGTAGGTCTTGACTGTCACCTAAAAGGCTCTTCGTGGAAAAGCAGCCGCCCAGGCCTTGAGAATTGCAGGACTATTTGGAACTTGAAGAAGTGTCGCCGATCGCAAGTGTTTTTCTCAGAGGCATGGCTACTTTCACAGCCCAGCACGCTACAGGTCAGCATGTTTACTATCCTACTGCTAATTCACTCAAGCATGCTTTATCGTCTTGTCACGTGTGAAATATCAATTGCAAAAGAGCTTTTCAAATAAAAGTTATTTAAATAGTGCATGTATGTCATTTACTGCACTGCATTCTATTTTTCTTAAATTCACTTTGGAAGCCTTTCTCCTAACTCCTTTGATAATTCCAGCTACAATCCAAGGAATTTGTGTATGAAATGCATCTGCACATAAAAATTGTACCGTTTATGTCAGCTGTGCCAGCTGTGAGGCTTGAAAGCTCACCAATATAAAGCACAGCAAGATTGAGCTGCTAATTCGTGCAAAACTGCCCATGACGCCAGACTATTTTTCCTTAGCTGTTCAAAAGGAGCACAGTCATTTCTAAATATATTCTTACACAAAATATATATACGATGTGTAATTACAGCAGGCTCGTTCACTTAGAGTCATCCACAACCTGAAGGCACAGATGAACCTTATTTATTGCAAAGGCACATGCAGAATTTTTTTTTGGGGGGGGGGGGGAGGTAAGGGCATCACCTTGAGCTTAAGAGGGTGCCGGACAGGCAAGTGTGGTCGAGTCTCACTTTTTGCTAAGTAAACAATAGCACGAAGACTTTGGGAAAGGGGGGAAGAACAGCACTGGCCCAGTGTGCCACCCACTGGCCAAACCACCTTCCTCATTCCAGCAAAAGAAATAATCATACATTTCTTAAGGACAGGTGCGGCTCTTATTTATAACTAAGTATTATTCATTCAGTCCTCATTTAGCTGCTTTAGCTGAAGCCCGCATATTTGGAAACAAATTTACCGCTGTTTGGCATGCAGAGGTAGCAGATGACGTTCCTTCGCCCATCCCAAAGCAACAGCAGCGCTGTCGCTGCACGGGATACAGAAGGGGGCCGCTCCTCGCCGCTGTGACCGCGCGCGCTTACCCAACTGACAGTATCTAGAAACGTTGGCTATTCTACACGACAGTCGCATGCTTCTAGTGCAGCTAATACACCGTTTGCATTTTAACACTGGGCAGAATTTAGAAAAAGCAATGCTATCATAAAAAACAGAACTGCTATATATGAGTCGAACTATTCTTGTGAAATTTTCAGCGCTGTTCAGAGCACATATCACCACTTCGGCATGAGCGGCACTCGTCTGGCTCTTTTTTCTTCTTCTTTTTCTCACGGTAGCATACTGACTCATTGCGTGCGCCTTGCCCACTGCGAAGTACGATACTGACTGCATTAACAACGCTACACTCTGAGCTGTGAAATCTACAAACAGCTGATGTTTCTGCACGCTGCCCGCACCTAGCGCGGATTGTTGTGCCAATACGCGGCTAAAAGCAAGTGCCAATGCTGCCCGTTTCTTATCGAAATTGATATCCACTGATAAGCGTATCATTCGTAACAGTTTACTACAGTGAAATCAAGCACTGGCATCACCTTATACCCACCAGCATATGTTTCTGATGCGGGTGAAGGTGGCTGGTTGTGACTCGCTTTTCTGTGCCCGTTCAGTCGTCGCTCTTAAAATGCTTAAAGTGGTGACCAGCTCGAACATGCACGGATGTATGCAGCAAACACGGTCCGACTTTCACAGTTCGCCACGCTTACAGCAACTAGCCGATTTCGACAGATAAACACGGCATTGACTGCCAGCGAGCGCAGTCAGCTGTTCTCACCTTCCTGACAGTAATGTCATAGAGCTTCGACCAACCACAGCGGCGGCGAGATTCGCGATGGCAGACGCAGCACCTGTTGCTTGTTTACAGCAAAATAAAGTTATTTGCGTTAGTTCATGCAATATTTTTGACTTGATTTTCGAGTTCGCCGCACGAAATTACGTATCATGGCACCATAATCTGTTTTTTTTTTTCTGTGTTTCAGTGTCTCTTTAAGTTCAAACATTTTTGGCAACTTTGCCTCACTAAGAAATAGAGGGATGAAAATAAAAAGATCCCTCCAGAAACGATGACTGAAGTGTCATTTATGGGCACGATATCGAATCATCTCAAACGTCTGTAAGATACAGCACTTCATCATGCACATCAGTGGTAAGCAATCACCCATCGGTTTATACCTGAAACATAGTAAAACAGCTCAGATTATATATACTTTAATTATGTAGTTCATTAAAATTAAGGCCATGTATATTAATTACTAGGATCCAAACACAACACCTTATTACTGTATTGCAAGCCATCGACTGCATCATACTTCTGCCCCTTGGGACTGAGAAACGGTTCTATAACATGCCCTTTAATGGTCCATGGGGGAAGATACTATTCCGTGAAGAAAGCACTATTGCCCCATTTTGACGTTATATATTGCAGTATTATTAAAACAAGTGACGACGAGTTGTGTGACACACATTATGCGCTGCTGAAAAGCTGGAACCTTGCAGGGACCTGCTATGCAGTGAATGTGAAGCAAAGGCAAGCTTCGTACCTTGTGGTTGCTCAGTCAGAAAATTTTATTGCGATAGCAACTATATGGACAGTCTTGGCTGGTTTTCCCCGTCGTCTTCACTGCCGCCGCAGCCTCCATCATTCACGTATATGTATAAGTATGTATGTA